TTAACATCAATCTTCTTTGTAAAGTGTAAAAAACTCAGCTTTTGATTTGAATCGTGGTTCCAGATAAGTTATCCATAATACCGCATGTTTTTTTAGACTTTTTTTGTATGGTAGTTAAAAAATAAACACTTAACACAAAGGAAAAGTACCCGAAAATTACCCTAGAAAGGATGAAATAGTAAGGGAGTTGAGGTCCAAACTACATACAAGATCGGCTATATAAGATCTGCATCATAGAAAAATAGTTTTTATTATTATTATTACTCATTGTAGATTTGTTTATATTTTATGACACCCTGCAAATGATTATTTTATGGTTATGAATTATAAAAAAGTAATATGATAGTATTTAAGAGTCAGAAAAGAGTATCATTCTATTATAGTGGATTTTATTTGTTGCACTAGGTGTAAGTGTTCTGCACTAATCGCATTTGATTTGCTCAGTGTAGCTTCAAATACTTGAGTGTACCATATACTTTTGACAGTATGACAGTTCGAATACAGTGCGAGTGTGACACTAGTGCAACAAATAAAATCCACTATTAGTTATATTTTGCTAGGATTGATTTAGAACTTTATACGTTCTTCGTTATATTGCTAGCTTATCATTGTACAGGTTTGGCATATTTTCAATTGTCACTACTTCAACTTTCATGTGTTTTCGTTGTAGTAGAAGCTGTTATTTATCTCAAGCATTGAATTTGAACTTAATTTTTTCATCATGGAGGTACTGCAAAGCACCTAATGTCTGTAACAAATGGGTCACCAACATTTTTTTCCCAGTCTAATTCTCTTGAAATATATGTTATTTAAATATTTAACACTAGCTATTGCCCGCGGCTTTGCTCGCGACTTTGCTCGCATATAGTCGTGTTATTAATATAAAAAAATACATGACTTCCTTTTTTTATTAATTTTTATTAATTTTTATTAATTTTTATTAATTTTTATTAATTTTTATTAATTTTTATTAATTTTTATTAATTTTTATTAATTTTTATTAATTTTTATTAATTTTTATTAATTTTTATTAATTTTTATTAATTTTTATTAATTTTTATTAATTTTTATTAATTTTTATTAATTTTTATTAATTTTTATTAATTTTTATTAATTTTTATTAATTTTTATTAATTTTTATTAATTTTTATTAATTTTTATTAATTTTTATTAATTTTTATTAATTTTTATTAATTTTTATTAATTTTTATTAATTTTTATTAATTTTTATTAATTTTTATTAATTTTTATTAATTTTTATTAATTTTTATTAATTTTTATTAATTTTTATTAATTTTTATTAATTTTTATTAATTTTTATTAATTTTTATTAATTTTTATTAATTTTTATTAATTTTTATTAATTTTTATTAATTTTTATTAATTTTTATTAATTTTTATTAATTTTTATTAATTTTTATTAATTTTTATTAATTTTTATTAATTTTTATTAATTTTTATTAATTTTTATTAATTTTTATTAATTTTTATTAATTTTTATTAATTTTTATTAATTTTTATTAATTTTTATTAATTTTTATTAATTTTTATTAATTTTTATTAATTTTTATTAATTTTTATTAATTTTTATTAATTTTTATTAATTTTTATTAATTTTTATTAATTTTTATTAATTTTTATTAATTTTTATTAATTTTTATTAATTTTTATTAATTTTTATTAATTTTTATTAATTTTTATTAATTTTTATTAATTTTTATTAATTTTTATTAATTTTTATTAATTTTTATTAATTTTTATTAATTTTTATTAATTTTTATTAATTTTTATTAATTTTTATTAATTTTTATTAATTTTTATTAATTTTTATTAATTTTTATTAATTTTTATTAATTTTTATTAATTTTTATTAATTTTTATTAATTTTTATTAATTTTTATTAATTTTTATTAATTTTTATTAATTTTTATTAATTTTTATTAATTTTTATTAATTTTTATTAATTTTTATTAATTTTTATTAATTTTTATTAATTTTTATTAATTTTTATTAATTTTTATTAATTTTTATTAATTTTTATTAATTTTTATTAATTTTTATTAATTTTTATTAATTTTTATTAATTTTTATTAATTTTTATTAATTTTTTATTAATTTTTATTAATTTTTATTAATTTTTATTAATTTTTATTAATTTTTATTAATTTTTATTAATTTTTATTAATTTTTATTAATTTTTATTAATTTTTATTAATTTTTATTAATTTTTATTAATTTTTATTAATTTTTATTAATTTTTATTAATTTTTATTAATTTTTATTAATTTTTATTAATTTTTATTAATTTTTATTAATTTTTATTAATTTTTATTAATTTTTATTAATTTTTATTAATTTTTATTAATTTTTATTAATTTTTATTAATTTTTATTAATTTTTATTAATTTTTATTAATTTTTATTAATTTTTATTATTTTTATTAATTTTTATTAATTTTTATTAATTTTTATTAATTTTTATTAATTTTTATTAATTTTTATTAAGTTTTAATAATTTTTAATAATTTTTATTAATTTTTATTAATTTTTACTAATTTTTATTAATTTTTATTAATTTTTATTAATTTTTATTAATTTTTATTAATTTTTATTAATTTTTATTAATTTTTATTAATTTTTATTAATTTTTATTAATTTTTATTAATTTTTATTAATTTTTATTAATTTTTATTAATTTTTATTAATTTTTATTAATTTTTATTAATTTTTATTAATTTTTATTAATTTTTATTAATTTTTAATAATTTTTATTAATTTTTATTAATTTTTATTAATTTTTATTAATTTTTATTAATTTTTATTAATTTTTATTAATTTTTATTAATTTTTATTAATTTTTATTAATTTTTATTAATTTTTATTAATTTTTATTAATTTTTATTAATTTTTATTAATTTTTATTAATTTTTATTAATTTTTATTAATTTTTATTAATTTTTATTAATTTTTATTAATTTTTATTAATTTTTATTAATTTTTATTAATTTTTATTAATTTTTATTAATTTTTATTAATTTTTATTAATTTTTATTAATTTTTATTAATTTTTATTAATTTTTATTAATTTTTATTAATTTTTATTAATTTTTATTAATTTTTATTAATTTTTATTAATTTTTTTCCCGTTTTCCCCTCTTAAAATGTGAAAATTCAAAAACCATGAAACACTTCATTATTTATTTATGATGAGAACCTACAATTCCAATTTTCAAGTTCCTACCTATTAAAAAATCGTTATTTCCAAATAAACTTTCACCCCCCGTTTCCCCCCCTTAAAATGTGAAAATCCAAAAACCCTAAAACTCGTCATTATTAATTTGTACTCATTAGCTGCAATTCCAATTTTCATGTTTCTAACTTCAAAGAGAACAAAAAAAGTTATACTCCCATACAAACTTTTACCCCCGTTTGCCCCCCTCATGATGTAAAAATATAAAAACCCTAAAACACATTATTATTAATTTGTACTCAGTAGCTGTAATTCCAATTTTTATGTTTTTAACTTTAAAGAGAACCAAAAACATGGATACTCCCAAATAAATTTTTGCCCCCCATTTCCTCCCTTAAAACGTGAAAATCCAAAGACCCTGAAACGCGTCATTAATAATTTGTAGTCAGTAGCTGCAATTCCAATTTTCATGTTTCTAACTTCAGAGAGAACAATAAAATCGATAGTCCCTTACAAACTGTTACCCCCGTTTTCCCCCCTTAAAATGTAAAAAATCCAAAACCCTGAAACACGTCATTATTTATTTATGCTTAGTAGCTGTAATTTAAAGTTTCATGTTTCTAACTTTAAAGAACAAAGAGTTTCATTAAAAGCTCCCTCCCCCCATTTCCTCCCATTTCCCTCCTTTAAAGTTAAAATTTCCAAAAACCTTTCTTAGCAGATGCTTACGTTATAAAATAAACCTATGTTCCAAATTTCAGCTTTCTAGGCTCAGTAGTTTTGGCTGTACGCTGATAGGTCAGCCAGTCAATCAGTCAGTCAGTCAGTCAGTCAGTCAGTCAGGACAATTTTATATATATAGAAGATTGTACTCGGCTGAATTTTTCCTGGCGTGTCTACTAACATTTACATAATCTACTGGGATATTTATTTCTACTCTTTTTAAGGGAGTTGTGACTGCAAAAACTTATTCTTGATTATTCCAAACCTATTGGATGTTAGGCTACCCTCAGTTTTATTTAAAATATAAAAAAATACTTGAGGTCTGCTTAAGTTGTGGATCATAAAATTGCGTACTCCGACACGTTAGACCTAGGAGACAGCAACTGGACTTGTATGTCCTGTGTATAAGTTAAACAGTCGTTTTTGTTTTCGTTTCTTTTTTTTTAATATGTACTTCATAGTCTTCATTACTTACATTTCATGTTTTATATAATTCACAGTTATCACAGGCATCTTTTTTCGGCTTAAACAAACCTTAGTTGTGGTCTTGAAACAGTTGATCGAATTTACACTGGGATTTACATATTACAAAGAACGAAAAAACTTTAAATTGAACTGGCGTTCTAAGTTTTTTAGTGCTTTGGTTCTTTATTCCCATTTATGTTATTCTCCCCAATCGACAGTGTGTTTTGTAACATTGGTTTGCATACTCTTACATTTGTCCTCAGTTTTTTCTAATAATTACTTCCAAGAATACTTCCTCTTGCCTTTTGTATCATCTTTTTAACCTGTGCTCTTGCTGTTATAGTTTTTTGTGTCAACAATTTTAAAAATACAAAGCTTCCAAAACTAGTCGACTGCAATAAACTATTTTCTTTTCATTTACAACGTCTTTTCTTTTCCCTGGCATTTTTCTTGATAACATACTCATACTGCCCTGCATATTTTTTTTTGACCACAGTATTCTTTTTCAGTCTTCCTCGCCTCTTTCCATTCATTATCTTCTATGTAGCAATCTTTATCTGATGATGCTTCTTTCGTTTTTGGCTAGTTGTAGCCACATTATTTGTATTATCAATAATGTGAGGATGAACGTCTACGAACACATTGTCATCAACTCCAGGTAATTCTTCTTGTTCAGGAATGACGACATGATTTTCAGCTAGGTTTATGTCATCTTCAGGTAGGTTTTCTTACTTATGAATGACACCAGATACAATATTTTGAATTCGATAGGTGACCCCACCTCTCCCACCACCGGGGATATGAATATTAATTTTCTGTTTTAAAAATATAAAAAATACGCGCCATTTGTATACCAATTACCAATCGATTAATGAAAAATTTATTTTTAAAATTACGATCGGTACGATCCATAAAAGAAATATTTGTGGTATAGAAATAGCTAATACTAGGGTTTTTTTAATCTATTGCTTGATAAGAAAGTAAAATCAACAGGGATAATATGATAATATACTCGGCAAAAGGAATTTGGTGAGACCACACATTCTTATTTCTTTCTAATATTGACTTTCCCGACCGAAAGAACTGTCTATTCCACTTTTTTCGGTGACCATTACAAGAATCCACAGCACATTCTGTTAGCTCAAAGAAAGAAGTAAAACTGTCCATTCCAGAAACAAAGGAACACATTAGAACAATAATTTCATTTGTTGCGACCGCATCCTGACACCTCTTTTTTGTCCTTTTCGGAAAACCGAAATTTCTGCCGAAAAAACTATTAAACTGGACATAAACGTGATAAATGAAAATATAAGTTTTCACTAAAACCGTTAGATACCGGCGGGCGTGACAACGCTCATATCAAAAGTTTTTATAAATAGTGACTTCCGCAGAGCTCTTACTTTTTTTCGATCAGTGGCGTGCATTTTCTCGCACTCAGTTATTTTCATAGTCAATCTATTCAGTTTATTGAGTTTTGAAATATTTTGATGTAGCATGTCGTGTTTTTTGCTTGCTATTTGTAGTTTATTACAGGGAAAAGGGGTGAACAACATGATTTATATCCTGGTGGTGGGCGAAATCACCTATCAAATTCAAAATATTGTATTCCTGAGTAAAAAACCTACCTAAAGTAGACATAAATCGCGATGAAAATCCTGTTGTTATTCCTGAGCAAGAAAACCTATCTGAAGATGACATAAACCTAGCTTAAAATCATGTCGTCATTCCTGAGCAAGAAGAATTACCTACAGCTGATGACAGTGTGTTCGTAGACGTGGATCCTCACATTTCATAATACTGATAATACAAATAAATTTGGCTACAACTAGTCGATAAGGAAAGAAAGACAGTCAGCTGTAGATTGTTACGAGTACATGGAAGAGAAATTAATGGAGAAAGGCGAAGAATAATGGAAATAATACTGTGGTAAAAAAAATATGCAAGAGTATGGCATGAAGAAAAATGCCCGGGAAATAAAAATACGTTTTAACTGTAAATGAAATAGAAATAGTTTGTTTCAGTGTGCAAGTGCATCATTGAGTGAAAATGAAAGTAAAAAGTGATCGTTGAGTTTTGGAAGCTTGACTGGCAGAAGGAAAAGGTATTTCTAAAATTGTTGACACAAAAAACTAAAACAGCAAGAGCCAGAGGTCGAAAATATAAGAAAAGAAGAAGAAAATATTCTTTGAAATATTATTTAAAAAAAATTAAGGAACAATGTAAGCATATGCAAAACAATGTAATAAAACACACTGTCAATTGGGAAGAATAACATGAATGGGAATAAAGAACCTAAGCGTAAGAAACTTAGAAAGTCGGTTCAAGTTAAAGTTTAGCAGGATTTTTTTCGTACTTCATCCAATATTGAATCTCATCATTGCCATGAAAGAACAAGTAATATCTATTTGGAACCTAAGGGAGAGCTTCACTTGTTTTATAAAAAAAAGTAGATTAACTTTCTTAGAGTAAATTGGATCAATTGTTTGAAGATTACTTATCTTTGTTTAAGCCAAAAAAAATATGCCTGTAGCTGTATCGTGTGGAGGGTGGGTTACCCCCACGGCACTTAGGCCTCATTAGACCCACTGTGTATTCTCCTAAGATGATAGGCACCTCCTAGCTCGTGAGCCAGCCTACAGATTTTATGTAGTTGACAACGTCGCCAAGAGGTGCTTCTCTTATATCGGCCGGTGTTAGCCGATACTCGCCGAACACAAATATTCTAATAAATGAGAGCGACGGGCAATGGTAAAGTATATGCTCGATGGTCTCATCTTCTTGTTCGCACCCTCTGCAGAGTGCGGATTCTGACAGCCCCATGATATGGAGATGCTTTCGTACTTGGCAATGACCAGTCAGAATGCCTGGGACTAGGCGCAGATTCTGTCTAGTCATAGTCAAGTATTTGTTTGTTGCAGTGTTGTTTCTTGTTTCATCCCATCTTTCCTTGAATTTCACAAGGGAATGTTATTTGATTAGGTCTGTCACTACCGATTTTGTCAGGACTATAGAAGGGCCAGGTCCAAAAAGTATTTGGTTGGCTGCTTTCTTGGCTACTGAATCAGCAAGACGGTTACCTTTCGATGTGGCGTGACCTTTGATCCATCTTAAGGTGACCACATTGTTGATGGATACTTCGGCCAAAGCTTCGTGACATTATAGTACTCACTCTGTGATAACTGTAAATTAAGTGTAAAGGTTAAAGAAAAGGTCCTTTATTTCTCACAAGTCAATTTATTGGCGACCGGTTTCGAAGTTGTCACTTCATCATCAGGCACACCTAAATGGAATGTCAAGGAGTCAGTTGTAATAAAAACAATTATAAAAGCATGAACGGACTTTAACATATACAAAATAACAGAAAAAACACAAAAGAAAGTTAAACAATAACCTTGACTCACCTTGACTAATTCCATAAAGGAAGCGCTACAAAAAGTTTAACAGAACGAGTTAAAAAAGTCATGTGTAATAAGTATTTTTTTAAAAAAAAAATTTTTTTTTTTTTAATGTAGGTTAGGTTAAACCACCAGATGTCTTTTTGAATAAAATAATTATTTAAAACACATTTAAGACAATTATTAACTAAACAACACAAAATAGTTTTACAAGCACAAACAGTTTAAAAATTTTTTAAGGAAATAATGTTAATTACTGAAAGTAAAAAGTAAGAAAGTAAAAATTATCAGACTGTCAAGACATCTATCTAGATTTTTAACGAATCAATGCAGTAAACTGTAAATTTTAAATTAGCGGATAAATAGTGTACTAACGGAGGTGTTATTTACTGAAAGTGAGTATAGGTGGCGATGACAAAATTTATTGAAAGTAAAATATATTAAACTGAGAATGAGAAAGCAAAAAAATTTTTTATACTAACAAGAAAATTACAACACTAAACAAGAAAATATGAAAATTCATATGTAAAAAGGGAAATTTGAAGCAGATAATCAAAAAGAAAATTACTGTTACAGGAAACGGAAAATAGGTTGACAGTACGAATGTCAAAAAAGAAAAGTCAAATTTTTGGCGTATGACAATATATGGGTTCGCCTTTATCTCCTATACTTGCAGACATCTTTATGCATAATTTTGAGAATAACAATATATTAAACAACAATCCTTTTTGCTCAGCTATTAAATTCTATCATAGATATGTTGATGACATACTGATACTATGGACTGGTGATCTTGTAACCTAACAAATGAACTTGGTGATTCCACCAAAATTTTTAAACTAAAAAAAAAATATTAAAGTATTAACTACAATTAAAAATGTTGTCTACTACGGTTACACAAGTTTCGGTTATTCCGGTGTCAACCTTCGGGCCTTCGACGTCGCTCAGACGGCAGCTAGGGGGTGGATAGCTTACAAAAATTCCGGAAATAGTAGACAAATAAATAGGCGCCAACTGGGTCTATATAGTGGCCAAACTATGATCCTATTTCCCCAAAAACCCAGTAAATGAGAAAAGAAATAAAAGACAAACCTCAACTTATGTTCCTTTATAAAGAAAAAAATATTTACTAAATATACAGACTAATTACCTAATGGCTTAGGTAATCATAAAAATTGGAGGAAATTAAAGTGAAAATTTACACTGTATATGTATATGCATAACCCAAAATAAATTATTAAATTAAAATATGGCACGGTTCGTCGTTAGCTTGGTACCAGGCATGACGCATGCGCAAAATATTAATTTCCACCTTACATAAAATATAAAATAATAGTTAACTTAAATATTGTGCATAACCGCACCTATACTACATCGTATATTATAAACTAAACAGTAAACTTATAATCCTTATAAGCTTATAACCCTCTCCAAATTAGAAGGCGATATCTGCTTAACTTTGAGTTAAGACCAAACTACCCAAAAGAAAATTATTAAACCATGAAATTTTATAGTTAAGTATAATTCATAGAACTAAATAAAAATATCAAAAAAAGAAAATAAAAATACAACATATAAAGGACTTTAGACACAGAGGTTATTTACTTAAACTCCCAGGTTGGAAGAGGTTACTTAATCTCTGCCCCCACACTGGTCTTCTGAGATTGCTTAACTTAATCGTTAAGTCTGGACCATTTAATAATGAATAAATTGAATAAAGTAAAAGTATGGCAGTAGCCCTTAATAACTGAAGAATTACAACTTAAACGTGGAAGCAGTCCAAGTGTTCTGCGACCCGAAGAATTACTACATCAGCATTAAGTGCTTAAATTAAGTAAAACTTTAAAATATTAATCAATTAAACGATGTAACATTTGATAATACTTAAGTTATGAGTGAAAGAACCCTAGAACATTCTGTGCTTAAAAGTATTAATAATGTTGAGAATACCTTGACAACATTCAGTTGAAAGTGAATGTATAGTTTAACAATGCACGCATGAAACCTTCAATATAATGTATAAGAAAAACCTGATAGTAGGGTGTCTTCTTTCACAGCATTCCCATCTTCCTATCCAGAACGAGAATCATCCTTGTAAATCTAGCTACAAGTAAGCTAGGCGGCTAGCATACCAATGTTCTGTGTTCCCTCGATGAGTCCACAATGAAACCGTTGAACTCCGGACGATATAACCCTCTGTGTACAACTGTTGAAATCCTGGGTCAACAACCCCCTGGGTGAAACTGTCGTCTAATCTTGGGCT